TAAAATTTGTGTAATAAAATTTTACTTTAGCCCGAATTAAAATTAAAAATTAATCTGAAATTATAATTTTGCCCAGATTAAATTATAATATTATATGAAAAAATTATCTATCGTATTGTTAGATAAATGTATGATATTTATCCTATATTTACCCGATATCTATATAACATGTGTCCGATATTATACTGACCAATATCTATATGATATTTATACGACATGTATAAGATATGTGCCCGATATTATACTACCCGATATATGTGTAATATGTGCACGATATCTATAATATATATCACCGAACTTCTGCATAAACATTACAGATATCAGGTACCCGATATGTGTGTAATTGTTGCATATCGTATACATATCATATACATATCCTACATATATCTGGTACCCGATATGCAACCGATAGCCTCGATTTTGACCTGTGAGTTAACTCGATTTAACTCGAAAAATTCGATCAATTCGATCGAATTGGGTTGGATTTTTTACGAGTCGAGTCGATTTGAAATTATAATTTTTTTTGAGTTGAATTGAGTCAAATCGGAAAAAATTATAATTTCAACTTGACTCGACTCGATTCGAATTTTTCGAGTCGAGTTTAAATTAAACTAAAATTCGATTCGATTTGACTCATTCGGAGCACTAAAAATAATTACAAAAATATCTTTTTTTATTAAAAACGTCAGGTTCAATTAAAGAAACAAAAAAAAATGTTTTTTTATTAAAAAATGTCAAACCTGACATTTTTTATTAAAAGAAACAAAAAAAATCGTTTCTTTATAATTAAAAAACATTAGATTCGACGTTTTTTCATTAAAAGAAACAAAAAAAATGTTTTTTTATTAAAAAATGTTGAACCTGACATTTTTTATTAAAAGAAATAAAAAAAATCATTTCTTTGATTAAAAAACATTGAACCTGACATTTTTTCATTAAAAGAAACAAAAAAAAACGTTTCTTTAATTAAAAAATGTCAGGTTCAATGTTTTTTCATTAAAAGAAACAAAAAAATGTTTTTTTTATTAAAAAATGTCAAACCTGATATTTTTTATTAAAAGAAACAAAAAAAAATCATTTCTTTAATTTAAAAATGTTGAACCTGACGTTTTTTCATTTAAAAAAACAAAAAAGAGTTTCTTTAATTTAAAAATGTTGGATCTGACATTTTTCATTAAAAGAAACAAAAAAAATACGTTTTAGCATAATAAAAAGTACTGAAACGTACTTTTTCATAAAATAATTGTAAAAAAAAACATTTGGCGTTTTTTCTTATTATTTGATATATAAAAAATACTTAACCATTTTTTTGACCTAAAATATATCGGGTCAACAGATCGGGTTGGATACCTGAACTGATACATGATATTTGGGTCAGATCACCAAATTCATGACTTGCTTTGGATCAGGTCAAGTCAATTACCTGACCTGACCCGATCCATTCAGAGCTTTAATCAGAATCAATCACAATAGTTTTTTTGCTTTTTTTCTTATTATTATTGGATTGCTTATTTTGTTTACGTTTTACAGGAACAGATTTTATCATATTTGATTTTTTAGCTTGCATATGAGCTAATTATAATATATAAATAAATTAAAATTAATTAGTTTAAATTTAACTTTCAATTTTTGATGTTATTTTAATATATAATGCTACCTTTACGTTTATTTAACTGAACATTTTGTGCAATAAGTCCTTTATTATGTTCCCAATTATGTATACTATATTTTTGATGAATGTTAATAGCTGTAAATCTTTCCTTTATCTAATTTACATCCTCTATAATAGATAAATAATGTTTATACAATTAATTCAAAAATAATTATTTAAAAAAATAAAATTTATAATAATAAATATATAAATATATATTACGTACTAGGATCTCGAACAATATATATAAAGGTAGGTTTTAACCAACATATAAAAATTTTTCCTATATGAGATTTATTATTACTTATTTGATAATATAATTTTTAAATAGTCAGATATAATTATACGTAGCAGAGTATTAAATTATTAATAGTCAGATATATATTTGCGTAGCAGGATAGATTTTTTTAATATATATATATAATATAATATATATTTACATTTTTCACATTAAAAAAATTTAATAAAATATGTAAACAAAGTTATAAATATGTTTGT